TTAAATCGTGTTCTTTCGGATTGCCTTGATCTGGCTTTCGAGGGTTCATGAGGGTTCCAAACACACGGAAGACTTGTTGCACTGGGCAGTTTGAGGTTCCCGACGTTTGCTTTCTGCTGAGGCTCGAGCCAAACGTGCATCTGTCGCTGAGCTGTTGGAGGTCGCAGATACCAAGCCCTCGTCCCAGGCTGACGTGGCACCTGGGCTGTTGAGAGTTTCGATGCCTCGGGTTCAGTTCAAAACTCGTGTTCTGTGTCCAAACACTATCCAAGAATTTGCTGGATGTTTCAGGCTAATCCAACACGATGCCATCTTAGGTGCTTGTGGATGCCCCTTGCTCCTCGTGCGGCGTTTGCAGGCGGCACCCTTCGCAGCTAGGCCGGAGCTCAAGGCTCAAAAGTTCGTTGTGTGCGGTTGCCGACGTCTTCACCTTGAGGAACCAAAGGGCGAAGTCATCAAGCTGAGATTCGATGTGTTATGTCACCATGGGAAGTTTGGAGCACGGGAGGACAATCATGGAAACTTCAGAGGTGGCATTCTGCTTTTGTCTTGCTTGCAACCAAGTGCGAAATGCTCTCTGGGTGGACCGACTCTTCATCGTGAGTCCCTAAAACCCTCGCATGAGCGAACACTCTTCAAATTGGCTCAAGCTGCTTCAAGATATTCCAGATTCGGATCAAACATAGAATGGAGCTGGCGGACAACTCGCTCATCTTGTCGGCTAGTCCGATAGTGTGCAATATGTGTGCGCGCTGAGTTGGTTTGCTTAGTTATCCGGCCAGGGAACAAAACCCAAGCGATGCAGCTCAGATTCACTGGTTAAAGACAGTCGCAGTTGGTCCCACGATCAGCTGCGACAGCAAAACCTCAACAGCGTATGGAATATGGAAAGCGTGCTCCACAACTTCATTACGTGCGCCCAGTTCGCAGGGATTGCACCCGGTCAAGTCCGTGACCGTGGCACATGCACACTTTTGCCATATGTTTACTCCCGGCTTGTAGATTTCAGCTTGGGTATCAGATCCCCATCCCTGACAACGAAAGCTTCATGCTCTTGCGCGTCCAAGTTTGCCAAGAGCCGATGGAGCCGAAGGAACCTTTCAACAGAGCAAAGTGACGATTTCGGCAGCGTTGCAGCGGCAGTCTGGCATACGCTCTTAGAGACACATGATCGGTGTATGACTTTGTGGATTCCATAGCCAAAGCGTCGCACTATCTGACCGCAAATCTCGAAAAGCCCTCTTCGATCCTGGATCTTTGAAGTCTGAAAACATAAACAACATACGAACACTCAGGCAAAGGTGGGCTCTTCAAGAGTCAGAAATCGACAGCATCGCGGCGCAGCAGCTGCAGATTCTGGAAGAGGCCTCGCAGCTCGTCCACGTGGGTGGCCGCCTGGTTTTTCGTCCGCCGATTAAAAGACGGGGTCTAGCAATGTTGACTTTTGAGGAATACACGAGCAACGTGTTCGACCGGGTTTGGCCGATCGCCCTCTTTGGCTGTTCGGAAAGAATTGGTAGGTAATGCTAAAGTTCACGACGGCCTCATTGGGCAAACTAAACTAGAAGCCGTGTGTTGTCCTTCATGTTTCGACTAGAGGGTTCACCTTTGGAGCGTCCGAAGACCGACCGGCACGAAGCTGAATCAAAGACGAAACCGACTGTAGATCGGGACCTCAAACAACGTTTCCTGGGGCGGCAGCCTACGGGCCACTGAACCAGAATAAACATGGGTCACGAAAATAAGTTCTGGCCCGAAGAAGCTTTAATTAATTGAAAGCCCTATACACAAAAAGCCGCCTCAAATACTGAATCATATGTCAAGTTCCAAACCCTTTGTGGCCCTTACATTCTTATGGGGGGTTGACCATGGAGCGTCCGGAAACCATCAAACTCCACAATCCTTCCATCGAGGCCCTCTAGAAATCATGAGCAAGAACGGGGACCCAAAACTGTATGCTGGGGTGTAGTTGTGACTGCATCCTGCACCCTGCTCTTGTCTTTTCTGTGTGGCGCAGTTGAAAGTGGGAGCACTTCCGTAAGTATGATGCCCTGACACTCATGCTCGCCCTGCAGCAAGACTGTAGTTTGTGTGGCCTTCCTACAAAAATCCTTCAACCATGCAGTTTGCAGCGGGTGGGTCTCCTAATCGTTCCAAAGGTCGTGAGCTCGTCGCTCACTCCATATTGCGCTTCTCTGAAATGGGTTGGTGTGGAACTGATAACTTGCCAATACTCTCAGTGTTCGTCGGGCTGGCTTGGTGGCCCACGCGCCACCGAAGACAAGAACAAATAAAATTGCAGTAATTCGGGGCTGCAAAATTCCACCACTATGAGTACTAGTATTCGCAGCACTAGCACCAGCACTCGTACTAAATAGAGAATTTCGCTGTGCTAGGGCTATCTATGGTACTAGTCTGACAACCACTGCTGCTCGGCTACTACTAATAGTAGTCCTACCATCTCTGCCACCACCACCGCCCCCGCCACCCGCACCACCACCAAAACCACCACCACCACCACCGCCACCGCCACCGCCACCGCCACCGCCACCCCCACCACCACCACCACCACCATCGCCACGACCACGACGACGACGACTACTACTGTTCCTACTCCAACTACCTACTACCTGCTACCTACGAACTGCTACCTACCATGTACCATCTAGCACCTACTACTTACGACGACGACTACCGCTGCTGCTGCTACTCGTCACTGCTACTTGCTGCTACTTGCCAGTTGCTACTTACCACTCACCACATACTGTTCACTAACTACTAGCTAACTTCGAGCCCCGAGCTGCTAACTACTAACTACCTACTACTACCTGCTGCCTTCTCGCTCCCTACCTACTGCCTAAAGCTACTACGCTGCTGCTGCTGCTGCTACTGCTACTACTCGTAGCCACCACTATGAACTACGACTAGCTAATAACTACTAACTGCATCGAACTGCTGCTCCTACAACTACTGCGACTTGCTGCTGCTACTACTACTACTACTACCACCACCACCAGCTACTACTACTACTACTACTACTACTATACGTACTACTACTACCTACTACTACTACTACTACTACTACGACGACGACGACGACGCCGGCGGCGGCGGCGGCGACGACGACGACTACTACGACGACTACTACCACTACGACGACGACTACTACTACTACTACGACGACGACTACGACTACGACTACGACGACGACCACTACTACTATTACTACCAGTGCTGCTACTACTACTACTACTACTACTACTGCTACTACTACTACTACTACTACTCCTACTGCTACTGCTACTGCTACTGCTACCATTGCTTCTACTGCTACTACTACTACCAGTACTACGACTCCTCCTTGTACTCCTACTATTGCTGCTATAGCTATGTTTGCTACTACTGCTGCTGCTACTACTACTGCCACGGCTCCTACTGTTGCTGCTACTAGTAGTTCTCCGACTACTCCTGCTGCTACTACGATTACTACTACTACTACTACTACTACACTTACTACTACTGCTACTACTACGACTACTTTTACTACTGCTACTGCTAGTGCTGCTACTACTACTACTACTACTACTACTACTACTACTGCGACAATGACCGCTACTGCTAGTTTCTGCCGGAAGGCTGCTTCCCTCCTTAGATCCCTGTCCTCCCATTGTTTCAACCATTCGTGCGGAACCCGTTCTGGACCACGCTTACTCCGGAGCCTCAGCAGGCGGGGAAGGGGGCGGGGTTTTAATCCAAACCCCATGTTAGTCACCATGTCTTCGCGACACGAAGACTGCCCCAATCCACAAGTGTGCTCCGATGCCTGGGCCACTGAGGTTTATGCGACCTGCTCCTTGCTCCGTGCGGAGAACGATGCCGTCGCCGAGCGCTTCGAACAACTGGCTGGGGATTGTTTTCGACGTTGGCCTTTCGAGAGCGGCAGGAGTCTGTGCTAAAGTTAGACCGAGTTTATGTTCGTCCTGTTGTGAGGTCCCGACTGTTGCAGAACACCGGAGGAGTTGCATTCGGGCATATTCGGGCTTGAGCGCTATTGCCGCTGTATGTGTTGTTTTAGGTTTTTTCACTTGCTGCCTTTTCTCGAACCTCAAGCCGCCGGACTGCATCAAGCAGGCATTGCCGGACTTTGATGCCGCACGTCGAGGGTACCGATGGTTTCTTCATGGCTCGGTGGCAGCGGCAAAACAAAGCGAGCGAAAGCCGACAAAGCATCATGCCTGTTGCAACCGCACGCAACGATGCAAGCATGGGGGAGTCAATTATCAAGTTTGAGGAAGCTGTTTCAATGTCGTTGAAGAGGGGATGTACCTCGCCCACACTGCTGAGCCTGATCAATCCCGAAAGCCCAGTTGCACAGAGCGTTGCGGCAGGTCCCCGGAGCTGGACTGAGCTGGGCTGAGCCAGGCTGAGGGTTGAACATTGGCCAAGACCCCGCCAAAGCAAAAGACATCTTGAGCTTCATGATGCTTCATGGTTCAGGTGCGATAGATAGATTCAGATAGATCTTGCAGCCTACATGCAATCCCGCAACGAGCTGGAGTTGCCTCTAATCTCCAAGGGCAGGACACGGGGCCGAAGCAACACGAGCCATGGCATTTCAGGTCATGTCGGGTGAGTCGTTGCCTTGTACTCCTACTTGAGGGCGAAAATCATGGTGTCAAGGTATCGAAAGAGGAGGTAGGAATCAACTGAAGCCCAGTTACTGAGGGCAATTCTGCAAAGCATGGCTCATGTGGTAGGCTGTACGTGTTGACACTCTTACCTGCAGGTTGTACGGAGATTTCCGAGGACTTTGAGGCTTTTCCTGTATGGCGATCTCAGGAGTTATGAGGGTGATTGAGGAAGGACTGTACACACCGCCGCACGACAGTGGCCTTCGAAGCTTTTTTTGTTCATAAGTATCTTGAGCTCGATGTTCAAGGCATTGCTTTGGAGATGCAGGTCTTGAGCCTTCATTCTCATGACTCCCGGCGCACGGATCTATGGCCGAAATCGGAGCCGATCCAGTCCAGTCACGGTACTTCTTTGCATTTCTTTCAGGGTTCTCCTGCTACGGAGTGGATCGCAGGAGGACGAACCTCCCTCCAGGTATTCGATGCATCGCATTTCGCATGGGATTAGAGCTTGAGGATGGCGCGAGCCCTCCTTGAGAGATGTATAGTGAATCGTGCTAGCGCAAGTGTCGCCGCAGACAAACGGTTCTTGCTCTCCGTGCAGAAGTGTCATCCGAAGCTTGCCACTGAATCTTTCCCGAACCGTGACATGGCACAACTTGTGCTGCAGCCTAAACCACAGCTTCCAGATCGCTAGGTGCCGACGTGGTATGGTAACATTTGCGATCACCGTGAAAGCAGCTCACAGCTGCGGTCCTTTGGTTTTCTCTTCACATGATGTCCGGTATTGCTGCGTGGCTGCTCGAGTACTCAGCTGGCTAGTATGTGAACCGGGCAGCACAGCCGCTGGATACAGGACCCCGGACATCATGGGTTCCAGGAAGATCAGAGACATCTTGCTCCCGAAGAACATGTACAAAACTGTTAAATTTGGGGGGTGCTCCGATCATTTCTCTTGGCTAGCAGAACTGAGGACTGCACAGATCAAGCCCGGCTGCCTGCATGCAAGGCAAACACATAGAGTTAGAGTCGAATTGTAACACTCGAACAGGCCGAGGCCGTTTAAGGCAACATCGTCATCGTCATCACCCCGAAAATCCCCGAAAGAAGCTCCGTCCGACTCTATCAGGAAGAGCATGGCAGATCTGGACGAGTTCGACGAAGCAGAACGAGCCTTCGAGAACCAGCCAGAGCCTCGATCGATGTCGGTACAGACTGCTGCGCCGAATTCCGAGCAGGAGTTCTGAATCCTCCAATATATACCACACTGTACGGAGGATCATCAATGCAGGCTGCAGCACATGCTGATTGCAAGTAGTCAATGATTGCTGAGGTTCAGGGAGGCATGCACCACCGTAGAAACGCTGGATCTGGGTGTGCAAGACATGGCAGTAGGAGGTCACAGGTCTTGGCGAAGTCCTTGCATTCAACCCTGGGACTACAATCTCGCTTCAACTCCTCGTGTTCGTGCACCCAGAGCGTTCTGTAGAGCTGGTGGAATCCAACTTACACTCATTTCCAATGCCACACGTCTGTGTAATGAAAGACAGCATTCCCCAAAGTCGAAGTACAAGCTGTGCGACTTAGAGCACTGGCCAGGTATGAGAAGGTCGAACCCTCCTTGTTGGGTGAGGGCACCTATGGCAAGGCATTCGCACCGGATTTTGTTCGGGTACTTCTCGATTTTGGTATTGATGGTGTTTCACATGTAGCGGTCTTTGATCTTATTTGCAACCGCTTTCGCTAGATGCCTGATGCAGAACGACACGAAAGAAGAGGAGTACTGATAGGTGGTGCAAGTCAGAGGCGCTTTTAGGCAGTCGTAGCGTCACAAAATCCGACCCAAAATCCTAAACCGGTTGCGGCGGCCCTGATTCCGGGACTTGATTATGAGAGGTTTACGCATTTAGACCTAAAGCCTCATTTTGTCACGTACTTGGCAAAATTTGTCTTTATTTGTCAAAATTTGTCTTTATTTTTTTTATTTGTCATTGTTTGTTGTTTAAAGGTTTTATTTTGATATTGTATCTTTTTTTATGTGATTGATTCAAAGTCTGTCACTGGCGGTTCCTTCGTCTTCGACACTGCTTTGTTTGTTTGTTTTGTTTGAAATGTCATTATTTGATGTTAAAGGTTTTGGTTTGATCATGCTTGTTGTTTTAATGTGATTGATTCAATTTCTGGCACTGGCGGTTCCTTCGTCT